CAAATGTGCTTTACACAATTGATGTGTGTATGGATTGCGATAACAGTTGTATGAGCCCCTAATAAAATGTTTAAAAAAATAAAAATAAACAACAACAACAACATAATAAAAAAAAAAGCTAGGGGGTTTATTTCAAATATAGTCTAAAAACTTAAATGTTTCATAAAAAGATGGGATTGATTACATACATCTTTTAATAAATTAACCCACTATAACATTCACATATATTCAAAATACTTAGATATTGCTAACCTGTCAAGGCTAATGCTTGATATCCCCCAATAACAACAGAAATGACTTGTGCTACACATTTTTTAATTAAAAATTGTACATGGGTGATGATTTCATTATCATCTCAATAGTGACCAGCTTTCAGGCTCAAGTACTTTTTTTTCAGCTTTACACAAATCCAATGAGGACAATGGGTACAAACTCAGCAATACAACAGTGCTAATTTGTTAATTTTGTCCCAATCTTATACTTTAATTTTGATATATGTGATTTCAGTCAGTGTGCTGATTATGACTATAAAATTAACCTTTTTATAACATTCAATGCCATATTGATGCAAATAATCTATAATATTTAAATTTCATATTAATGATTGGTTCTATTTAATCAACAAGGAGCATTTAGAGATTTATGATAAACTATGCTGTTTCCCTAAAAATTATACCAGGATCTTGTTCATTTGGTCCTATTAAACATTATTCTTCACGTATTATGTATGAACTATGCAAATTACAAATATTTTAATATGCTCTTTAATATACGTTTGGAAAAATATTTTTAAGAGAGAAAGTATGATCATTGAATATTCATTCTGCTGCATAAAGCAGTTTTTCCCCTAGTGTGTCCAGCCCCTAGCTTCTACCAGCAATCAAACAAACAACCCCCCTGAAAAGCACTTTGTGTGCTCAATACAATGGTGGATGGATGGATGGTGATAAGAGTTGTACAAGGCCCCAATAAAATGATCAAAAAAATAAAAGCACTCTTTATAACCCAAGAGTTAAATCAAAGCTTCTATTCACCTAAGAGAGTGGGTATGAGTCCCGTACATTGACTATTCTGACTTGGCATGTGACTTGTCTTTAACAAAAACGGAATTCTAGAAAGGCAAATTCACTTTCCATGACCATTTTACTTGCTAACCTATGAGGGAAGCAATCTGAAGACTCGAATAAAAGTTATGACTGATAGAAAACAGGAAGATTCAATTCCAAACTAAATTTGATTACATTAAAATTTTGGTAGTCAAATCAGGCAGATATAAACTGAAGTAGAAGAGGGTAGTAATATTTTAATGTAAGAGGAAATAATTATGCCTTGCAATTTATCAAAGTTTCAGCAATGACAAAGTATTATATCAACATCCTTTCTATAACCAAAATGGTTATTAAAGATATTAGTCTTGGTCATAAAAGGAGCCCTGTGGCATAAAGGATAAGCACCCTGCTGGAGCTGGAACTTGGCAGCTGTCTTTCAAAAGGAAGG